TGCTGTGTTCCATAAGGGCTCTCAGAAATCTTTTAAATAGTCACCTATAATCTAACTAAGGATTAACAGTAAGTGTGCCTTTTGTAGTTTAAGATATCCTTCTGCTTCATTTTGAAAGTTAGGACTTCAATTATTTATTTATTTATTTATTTAGTCACCAACCTTGTCTCCACCATTAACTGCCAAGACAGATAATGATGGCTTAGAATTCTCATTTCCAAACTCTCTCTGAGTTTTGAGATCTAATTTTTGAGACACTCAATACTTGAAGCATTTAAAGGTATTCCTTACAATTACCTCATGCAGTTTGGTTTCAGTTACTCTTCTCTGATGCTTTTTTTTTCTCTCTATCTCTCTCTCTCTCCAGTCTGAAAACCCCTCTTGACAGGGAAGTTGGCAACAAGATCTGTTATTACACCACTAACCTGAAAATGATCACTGATATTTTTGCTAAAAAAAAGTGACTTTGCTACTTTGAAATATGTTTTTTATTTTTGTAACCTCTATTCTTTATGACTTTAGTCTTCCAGACTATTCTTCCAGATCTAGGACATTTGTATATTTGCCAAGTGTGGGTCCTTCTTTTGTACATTCAAAAGTTTCTTCCATAGATATTTGGTGAGTGTCTATTATTGGCCAGGCACTATTCTAGGCACTGAGGATACAGAGGTAAATAAAACAGTCATGTTCCTTGACTTACATTCTAAAATATGGTATAAATCTTTGATAATTGGATTTATCTCCCCATTTGTTTTCCAAATGAGGATAGCTTTCTTTTAATGCTGAGCTTTTACTTGTTGGGCATCATCTAGCACTTTTGAGATATATTTTAAAGTTTGAATCTTAGGACCTTAGAAGACTTTTCACTTTTTCTCCTTGAAATTTCTTCATATCAGCCCTCTGAGTTTCCAGGTCAACATCTAACATTTCCCCCAGATTTTCTCTCCTTTAATGTTGGCATGATTTTGCAAAACTAAAGACAGCAACATGGCTTTGCCATAATTCACACAGATGTTGGCACATGTGGTGGTCAAGGCCAACCTTTCTGACTCTGTGTTTTCCCTCATCTTTTACATTATTCCATTGTAATTATGCATGGATTTTTCATGGATTTATTATATCAGCAAAATATAGTAAGACTTATTAGGGTATACTAAAATATGAGAAGAAAGAGAAAAGAGTTCTCCTTTCTGCATGTGATCATATTTTAATTGCTAATTTAAAATTTGTCTGCATTCTAGGAATAACCCTAGCCTAGTCTATGGCATCCTTTGTATTTGGACCTGGAGCATGCTGCAGTTTCCACTTGACCTGGCAGGTAAGTGTCTTGATGTTTTCTCAATGAAACAGAAAATTACAACTCTTGATCATAGATTATAATAGAGCTAAGGAGGCATTTAAGAGAATTATCATTTTTATCTTTTGATATCTCAGTGTCAGTTCCAGTTCAGTTTAGATGAAAAGTAGATTAAAACTTAGGAAAGCCATCTGCAGATTTCATTTATATGTGGAATCTAATGAACAAAATAAACTAACAAACACAATAGAAGCAGACTTAGAGAGACAGAGACTAGACTGTCAACTGTCAGAGAGGAGGGACTGGGGGAATGGGTGAGAAGATGAAGGAACTGAGCAAAGAAAAAAGAATACATTGACACAGAAAGTAGTGATTATCAGAGGGAAAAGGGGGTGGGGAGAGGTAGAAGAAAGTAAAGGGGGAATAAATAGTGATGGGAGTAGAGTTGACTGGGTGGTGAACACACAATACCATATACAGGTGATGTATCAAAGAATTGTACACCTGAAACCTATATACTTTTATTAACCAATGTAACACCAATAAATTCAATAAAATAAACATAAAAAAATAAAATTTTCTGCATCTTTTTTTGGCTCACTTTGATAGGCCTAGACATTTCAGGGGTCATTTTAAACCTTAGCATCTACGTTTCTGAAACAAAATTGTCACTAGGATAGATGGAAAGAGTGGCTATAGCTTTTTGGAAATACCAAAAACCTAATTACCAGTTAATAATTGCAAACAAACAAATGTATGCCAATAACACGAGAGAGAGAGAGAGAGAGAGAGAGAGAGAGGAAGAGGGAGAGGGAGAGGGGAGAAAGGGAGAGAGAGAGAGGTTTTGTCATAATGTGCCCTGCAAGGTGTCCTATACCCATTAATTGGCTGGTGTCTTTGGACAGAATATTAGGCACCATCACTCTACATATGGAACAATAATACTCTTCAGAAGTCCGCTGGGAGCCTTTTCCTGACTCTCACTTCTTTGTAAAGACTATTATCGATCTTTTGTTATTGTTGTTTATTGTCTTTCAATCTGCTGGTCTTCACCCTCCCATATCTTGTGGTTTATAGCCTTGCTAAAAAAATTTTTATTTAAGAAAGAAATTGTGTAAACTTTCAGAGGGTGATAATGTTATGCAGCTGTTTGAAAAACAAAGACCAAATGTTACTTCTGACTAAATTACTATTGTATTTTCCAGGGAACAACATTATGTTCATATCAAAGCAGCTTCATAATATTTGCAGGCTTTAGCAGACAGGCATTCTTTGTTTGAAAGCTCCAAATGGAAGGCTTCGTTATTATTAAAGGATTATTTTCTGCCCTTGACCCTAAATTAAATTCACATTTTAGAAATTAAAACAAAAAGGTTCATTTGTTGATTAGACCTCATTTTATTCAACTGGAAAATCAGTAATTATATCCAGTTTTTCTTGTAAACTGTGAAACAAAACCATAAGGAATTAGACAAAATAACAATGGCTATGTTTTTTGTTTTTTCACCACCATTAGAAAAATATGTTGAACAGGAGTTAAGTTTGAATTTGAATATAAGTGCTTGAATTTTCACAACACCATGTACACAGAGGATAAAGTAAGTCCATCCATAAATAGGTAGCTCTCTAGGAGAAGAGGCCAAAGGTTCCGGGCCATGCTTACTCTGTTGCATCTCCAGACCTGGCAGCCAGGGAAGTCACTCATTATCCCAAGGAGAAGATAATGTGAGAGAGGAGAAAGGAGCCAAGGGTGTTATTCTAATGGAAACAAACAAGAATCAGTGAGATGGCGACTTTCTCCTCACAGATGTCATTGTTACCCCATTTCTCAAAGCAGGAAAATGAGACTCAGGCAGATGAACTTGCCCAGCATCTTCCTGCCAAAGAATGAGGAAGCCAAGGAGAGGCAGCCAGGCCCCCTGACGAGGCCCAGGGCATCCGCTGTGCGGCCTCCCCACACTGCAGACCCAGGGACTAATGTGGTGGTTTCCTCTGTTCTTGAGTCTCTCTATCCTGGTTAATTGTGCTTTTCCCAGTGTGAGGACTGGAAGGTGATCTGAATTGCTAACATGCACATAAACTAGAGGACTGGCTTTCTTTGGTGTGCTTTATTGGAAACATAACATATCGTTGCATATACAATGACCAAGGATGTTTCCCCTGTTCAGACTGAATGAAATTCCAGTCACTCTCAGTCATGAACTAGGAGGGCACCCAGTGTTGGAGACTTGTTCCCATTTCATTCTTGTCTTCCTTTCTGACGTTTCAGAGAGATACATTAATTGGTGTGTCTTGTGTTTTCAGTTCAGCATGTCGTGTGCCCCTTGTCTCTGAGGGCGAGGGGGTTCCCCAGCCTGTTCTTTTGCCAATACAGTGCCGATCTGTGGAACATTGGAATCAGCGTCTTCATACAAGACGGTCCCTTCCTCATCGTGCGTCTCGTACTGATGGCCTATTACAAAGTTTTCAACCAGATGCTGGTGTTCTTTGCTGTAAAGAATTTCCTCGTGGTGATGTTACACCTCTACCGCCTGGTTGTCCTGGCACTGGGCGCCCGTGCCTCTCTGCGAAGGCAGCCAGAGGTCCTGAAAGGAGAGCGGGGCGGCCCTGCCGAGCCCCTGGAGAGTGGGGTCTCCCCTGGGGCTTGGGAGGGTGGCTCCAAGGAGGGCATGGCTGTGCCTTTGCGGGCCTCGCCAGGCGCCTCGGAGGACTCGCCCCCCACCCCGTAGTTAGTTATGGGCAGCCGCACGCTTGACGCCCCAGTTCTTCGTCCGAACAGAACCTCCCTCTGTTCTTCTAAACCTTACATGTAGTAATTTTCAAAAGAACAACAAAAAGGGGCCTGAACCCGTCAAAACGATATAAGCAGAGCCACTCTGAAATGGGGCAGGCGCTGCCAGGCCAGAGGAACTGCCTTGCAGGTCACGTGCCTCACACTTTGGGATGTTAACACAGGACAAAACAGCCTCTGGACCGAGCCTAACGCAACCACGTGTCCCAAAGAAGTGTTTGCAAGGATAGTAAGAAAGTAGATATTTTGACTACCGGACTGATGGCGACCTGACCAAAAATCAAAAACATTTTTCGAATTAGTGGCACTATGTTATCTGCACCAATAGAAAGGCCTCTCTTCTATTGATGTAATTGTTCCCTTTTCCTTCCTCATAAATACCCTTTGCCATTGTCTCCTAATCAGAGCACGATTTGGGCTTCGGCCTGAATCAATGCATTCTGAGGAGCTTTTTTTTATTGATCTCAAATAAATGCTTGTTGCCTTTCACTTTGAAAGGCTTTTACTTTTAGGTAATCAAGCCAAAGCTGAGAAGTTCTCTTTCTTAAACTGAATGAAAAGAACTTTGATTAGTGGCTATTGTTACAATTTGTGTGATGGTATCAGATGTTATAGCTGTTCAACAACTAAGTGATTTGTTTGTCTTGAACTGTCTGACAAGCTATGGGCAGGGTTACAACGACATGCCCTCAAGAGACTGAGTACAGACAAACCGTCCGGGGCTGTTACCTGAAAACAGAGGAGCTTTCAACCTTGGCTCCATTGTCAGACTGTCTCATCTGATCTTTTCTGCAATGTCCCTCTGACATTAAAAAAAAGAGAAAAAAACTACATTCAGTGAATGCAGAACAAATAAAGGAAAATGTGCCTTTAACATTACCTCACTGGGGGCTGGAAACAGTGAAAATCTCTGCCCAGCTTCTCTGCACAGAGCTTCCCGGGAAAATCATTCTTCTGGGCTGATGTGGCATTCTGTCATGGCGCATATGCTCTTACAGAAATTTTATCGCTTCTGGCTGGGGCACTGCAAAATTCACAGCAAGCCATTTCAGTTACAGACCCACCGGTTGCGAGGCAGGAAATACTGGTAATGCCGCGAAGTCACAATTTCCACTCGGAACGTGATTGGCGGCATTTGTCAGTATTTTCTTAACTGCACGTCACCGTTTTCTGCATAGCCAAGTCCAATCATGTGGGCTGACGCGAGGAAGCACTGCAGCAGTGTGGATCGGGGATACAGGCCCTTTAAGGGTGACCCTAGTTTCTGGTGCCTGCCAGCAGTCTGAACTGCCACTGCTGGAGATGGCCTCTGGTCCCAGGGAAGATGTTGGGGACAGGGCTTACATCAGTTCTACACACTGCCAGCAGCCCTTGATTAGTGACGGGGTCAGAAGTTGTGTGGCACAGCATTGCGGAAATCGGGAAATTCCACCTTTCTGCCCTGCGTTAAGAGTTCATTTCCCCAATATTGTCATAGTCACACTTTTCCTTTATACACTGCTATACATTTCAGATGGAGGTGATTCAGAACCTTTTAAAACAATGTTTGCTTTTAAAGATACAGTGGGAAAATTTACCTGGCTGTATCACAGTAATTATATGAGGCAAACAGTGCCAAACCGTCCTTTTGGGGTTCAAAGCGCAGTTCCTCCTGTTACTATGCTCAGGAACTCAAAGAGACCCTGCTAAAGGTAAGGCAGGGTATGTCCCTAAGGTGGGTGGGATTTAATGACAATTAATTGGGACAATTTGATCTATAAATCTCTATGGCATGACATCTGTTCAAAAGATTTGATTAAAAGTTCCATAGGCATTTTTTGTTTTTATATAGAGAAATGAATAATTTCCAATTATTGGCTTCTTCAGTGCCTAATATCATGTTCCTATTTCTTTCTTTTCTCCCATGTGTTTCTAATTTTAACAATATGATTGTAAAATTACACATGAAACTAATGGGATCCATTTATAATTTTCCATAATAATTTTATGAAAGATCAGGAAATCATATATATCTAAAGGAAGAAACTTGACAACTTTTAAGGGCTTGTTATTTAAAATGCTTCACAATTGAAAGCAAAATAATAGCTGCTATTTATAAAACCGCCTCCGCAGAATCTGTTTTTATGTTGACTGTTTCATGGTGAATGTTTTCCTCCACAACATGTATGTGCTACTTATTACTGCAGATTTGCTCATGGCATACTTTACATGTTTTAATTTTTTCTTCCAGCAAAACAAACATTGGGGCTCTAAAAATAGATGAGTATAAAGTAATACGGGCTGTTGCAAGGATATTTTTAAATGCTTTCAAATCTGAGACTTGGCTTGGCTTTGTGAATGAGTTTCTAGCATTTTAGTAAAGTATTTTGTAATTAGCACTCCTCCGAAGGCCTGGAAATGTAAAGTCCAGAGTCTAGCTTCATTTGGAGTCCCAAGAAGGCAAAGAGCACCCAGAACCATCTCAGCAATCAATGGTGAAAAAACAGAAACATGCCCCAGCAACATTTTCCAGGAAAATCCGCCAAAGGCATCCTTTGTTCACCTAACTGCCAGCATTCCCACCCTTTTGAATTTAGTGTTTTTATTGCAGAAAGAAAATCTCTTTTCATTCAGCTTATTTAAAAATAAAACTTAAGTCCAGGTTTTATCTCTAGGACCCCTCATGAAAAATTAAAAAGTTATTGTTACTGTACTTCTTTATTGTAGATTGCCAAACATGGTAATGTTTGAAAACATCAATTGTTCTCTATGAAGTGTCTAGAACAACAGTTACATCCCATGTGTTGACATCCTGGGACTTGTCTCCTTGTAATTTGCAATAAGTGCCTCAGATTATCTGTATACTGTGATGCAGGCCATAGCTCTGTACCACCCCCTACAGACACACGCCAATCCCCCAACCACTGAAGAAAGTGATTTATTTGTTATTGTTGTATTTTAACTGCTTGATGAAAGCTCAATCAAATGTCCTCCCTCAGAACATAGCTCACTTGTGAGAAAATACAGTGTGCGTGTTTTACATACAGTGTGCTGTGTAAAAACTCACCTCGCAACCACCTTGTTGGTGTTGCTTGCCCTCCCTAGCTGGGTCTCAGAGGACCTGACTTGGCATTGCAAGATGAGTAATCTGTTTTTGTCTTTGATGACTTTGTTAATTTTTATTGAAGCTGATACAGACAACATATGAAAACAAAAACTTGCATTGTCAATAACATTCTTTTTAATCTTCCAAAATGAGATTGTTATACAAATGTGTCAATTGGCTTTGCAGCAGTTCATAGCAGCATCTCAGGATTTGTAGACCAGAGAGACGTGGCTAAGAAAAATCAGGATTCGCTATTATAATATTGATTCTTAGCTTAAGAGCAAATTTTCAAAGCCATGGGAAGGCGTGAGTTGTAGGTGTGCATGCTTTAGGATTTCCATCCAGGTTTCAGAGTTCAACACTGACTTTTATTATCTTTGGCATTTCATCTCAATGACTCTTAATCAACTCTCCTGTTAAAAGAAACAATTGCAAGAGGCCAAGTCTCTGTCCAGGCTCACTCTACTGCCAGGAAAATGAGATACTGAAATATTACAGAGCCTCAGAGAAGTAAGTGAAAAACCAAACAATCTTGAATTATAAAAGGAGATTGTTACACTTTTTCTAATTTCAGACTTGGCTTTTTTACTTAAAGGACATTCTGATCCACTGTCAGAAACATCTGATTTGGGGTTAAACTAGGCAGCTGGAGGATGGTTAAATCTCCTAGGCTTCAAATAACGTTTCATATGATGGGAGTTATTCTAAACAATGTTTTAATAATCAACCGCTATAACCTTATATCTTATGGATGTTCAGCCTCTGAATATTTTATATGAATATTTTCTCTTAATTACTCATATTTATACTATTTTGCAATGAATGACATTTGTATTTTATTATATATACATTAAATAATTTGTTTACAACTTTATCTCAATGTTCATTTTTTGTTTGAATTACTTGTCTTTGTTCTCCACTGTAATTCATTTCATTTAGATTGTAAGCTCTGGTTTAAAAAAAAACAACAATGATCTATTTAGAGTATGACTAAAGTGGCATTTCAAACTAGTGAGGAAAGACTGACCAATTTTATAAATGATGTTGGGAAATTTTGCAAGCCATCTGGAAAAAATAAAGTTAGATTTTTATCTCACGCAATATATAGAAATAAATTCCAGATGGATTAAAGAATCTAAATGAAAAACTGAAAACTATAAAATATTAGAAGAAAACATGAAATGTGTCTTTAGCATTGCAGAACGGGAAATATCTCTCAGAGAAAGATGTGAATCTCAGAAGCTCTGAAAGCAAAGACGGACAGCTTTTCCTATGTAAAGCTGTAAAACTTCTGAATAGCCAAAGGTATCATGAATACATCACTATTTTTTTCCTTTTGGTGCACTCATACAAGAGAAATGAGAGGTACAGAAATTAGAAAAGACGAGCCAATTTTATCATTTCTTTGTTGAAGATTGAGTCTTGAATAACCAAAAAAGCACATAAAAACCAAAGGAAATATATGTATATGTATATATGTATATGTATGTGTGCGTGTGTATATGTGTGTGTGTGTGTGTGTGTGTGTGTGTGTATATATATATATATCTCCCTAATATGCAAATAGACCAAACAGCAGAACTGAACAACTGAACAACCAGTCGCTATGATGTGCACTGACCACCAGGGGACGTGTGCGGAACATGGTGGGCGTCAGCAGCAGGCAGCAGAGCAAGCAACATGGTGGAGCAGGTGGTGGAGCAGGTGAGAGGTGGCACCAGACCAAGGCCAGTTGCTGTCATCGGTGCAAGCCTCTGGTGGTTACTGAAAATTCTTTGCTCTGGCGCACCATAGTCCCGCCCAGCACTTGCACCTGCTGCCAGCGCCGACCCTGCTTGAACCCGCTGCTGGCGCCCATTGTCAGCCCTGATCGCTCGGTGCCGTCAGCGTGTGCGAGCGGTGGCTGCCAGCCCTGATTGCCCCTGAGGGCTTCTCTACCGCCTCCTGCTCCTGGGGGGCAATCATGGCAGCAGCTGCCACTCGCACCCACTGCTGGCATTGGCCCTAATCATTCCATGCTATCAGCAGGTGCAAGCGGGACCAGCGGCATCAGCGCATGGGAGCGGCGGCGGGAATGGGGTTGCCAGCAGGCAGGGGGCTGGGGGGGCACGGTGGGAGGGGCCAGGCGGGAGCCTGGAGATTGGGCTAAGACCTGCTCCTGTGCCCACCGCAGCCTTGAGACCAATAGTTCCTTTCAAGGTGCACGAATTTGTGCACTGGGCCCCTAGTTAAAAGTAATCTAAAATCCTGAAAAAAATCAATAGCTTTTCTCTCTATAAACAAACATCACACAGAATATGTATTTGAAGAAGAGATTTCCATACAAAATGAACTAGAACTGAAAAATACACAGAAATAAATTTAATTTTACCTAATAATAGACAAACATGTTAATTGACCCCCCTCCTCCCCCCCGCTACACTCACCAGCCAATCAGGAGAGTATGCAAATTAACCCAACAAATATGGCAGTTAATTTGCATACATAGGGGCGAAGCGGCAGAGAGAAGACTGAAGGCTCTGGCCGGAGCAAAGGCCTGGGTCCTGGGTGCCAGAGGAAAACCGGTGCCGGAGGAAAACTGGTGCCGGCAGCCAGGGGAAGGGAAGGCCTATTGCATGAATCTCTTTGTGCAATGGGCCTCTAGTCTATATAATAATAGAGGAATATGAAAATTAGCTGGGATGCCGTAACATCATGACCAAACAGCAGGGACCTGAGGCTGCATGGCACATCACCTGGGCAAGGGAACTCATTGACAGGGGACCTCAGGCTGTGTCCCCTGCCTCGTGGGGCTTGATGGGGGACCTCAGGCCATGTCCCCCCAGCCCCAGTGCTGGGCCAGGGGACCTCAAGTCGCGCCACCCACCCTGGCACCAGGCCGGGGACCTGAGGCTGTGCCCCCCCACCCAGCGGGGCTTGATGGGGGTGGGGCCGGGCAGGTCTGGTTCTCACCCAATAGGGGTGGGGCTGGCTGGGTTTAGGTCTCCTGCATTTTCTAAGTGCATGCAGGTGGTGGGCAGGGACTTGACTCTAGGACCTGCGGCGTGCCCCAGACTCTGATAGGAAGGAGATTTTCATATACATTTTACTAATTTTCTTTCTTCTCTGATACTTCTATTATAGAGAAAGGGCAAATAGCAATATTAAACTATTTCCTCTCATTAATTTCCTTTTAATGTGCATGAATTTCATGCACCAGGCCACTAGTGAATGTATAAGATCCATGTAAAGAAAACTTTAAAATTATTTTGAGGACCATTAGTGAATAATTTAACAAATGGAAAGATATATTCTTTTGGGGAATAGTAAGAAGATGATATTTTAAAATGTATTAATTTCTTCTAAATTGATGTATAAATTTAAAACAATCTTTATAGTGATATCAATAAAATTTCAATTTAGCTGATTTTAAACATTTTATAATAAAAGTAGAGGCCCGATGCATGAAATTCATGCAAGAGTAGGCTTTCCTACCCCCTGCTGCCAGCACCAGCTTCCCTCTGGCACCCAGGACCCCAGCTTCCCTTGCAGCCCCAGCTTTGTTCGGAAGGACATCTGGTCTAATTAGCATATTATGCTTTTATTATTATAGATAAGCATGAAGGATACCTGGAAAATACTAAAAGGAGAAAAAATGAAAGAGAGCTTTCAGTATATTAAATATACTATAGAGCTACAATAACCAAGAGAATTTGATTCTGTCAGGCAGAAAAATGGAACAGAATAAGGTCAAGAAATAGACTAAATTATATAAGGATTTTGCTATGTGATAAATCATGAGGGTGTGATAGAGTATTATAGCTGGTTTTTAGAATATCAAAGTGTACCCTTACCTCAATCCTTTTATCCAAAACACTTTCAGATGGATCAAAGAATTAAACATTAAAATGAAAATATAAAAACTATAGAAAACTTTGTTTTTATATTTACAATATTGAGAATGTTTTCTAAGAAAAACATAAAACTATAAACCTTTAGACAATTCATAAATTTTAAGTTGCGAAGTTGAACTTTTAACATCATAAAAGCACCATAAGTGAATTCACAGGTTGAATTAACTGAGTAAGTATTTTTGCAACAAATGTAACAAAGCATTCATTTTCTTGATAAGCGAATGGGTTCTTACAAATTAGGGAAAAAACAACCCAACACATTGGAATAATGAGCCAAATATATAAGTATATGGTTCACTGAAAAAGAAATAGTTAAGGAAATGCAAATCAACTCAGAATGAAATGCCATTTCTGAAATGCAAACTAAACCACAGATACCATTTTTGAATCATCGGGTTGGCAAAGATTCAAAAATATTTTAGAATGTTGTATTAGAAGGGATTGGGGGAAGCAGACATTTTTATTCACTGCTAGTGAAGATGCAAATTGGTACAACTTCTTTGGAAGACAATTTGGCAATATCAGTCAGAAATAAAAATTCATTTATCATCTGAGCCAGCAACTCAACTTCTAAGAATATATTCTACAGATAAATGTATGCAAAAATGTGTGTATAAGGCTGTTCAAAGCAGTATAGTGTCCACCAATAGTAATTCCTATAGTAGCACCAACAGGGTCATCATTGAGTTGTGGAGCGTTTATACTACATATGACCATGTAGCTTTCAAAAGGAATAAAATAGATCCATAAGTGCTGAGAAGGAACAATTACAGATATTGTAAAAGTAAGAGCACAAACCTTGAGGTTAGTATGTCACTCTTTTTATAAATACCGGTATAATCCATAGCTTTAAGTGTATGAAATATGCTCATGTTTCCAATGATCCTGGACATTCCACCTTTTCTTTCTCTCTCTCTCTCTCTCTCTCTCTCTCTCTCTCTCTCTCTCTCTCTCTCTCTTCTCTCTCTTTTTTTTACCTTTATGCTTTTTATAGTTTGCAGGTTTTAAGTATGTGTTCCTTTCATAATTTTGAAAACAATTATTAATAAAAAGAAACCTCACCAACTTACAGAGCCTACTGCTATGTACAGGGTATTCTGATATCATTTTGTAAATAAAGACAAAACACATCACTTTCACCAAAGCAAAAGACTACTTTTATAACTTAGGATGATTTTCAGATGCTTTAGATAAATCAAAAGTTTAACCCATGCCAAATACTACTTACCTTGGGAAGCATCAAGCCCAGGGAAGTGAAATAATGACTAGACCTTTAAGACCACAGGAAAATCAAACTGACCAAAACACTTCATTGGATGTTGATGAATACCATGCGATACTTTGTGACAACTGCTCTGGCACTTTCACCTTCCGACATTTATGGTGCCACTAAAACAAACCATAGAAGAATTTCACATTGAATTTCATAGTCAAGCTGATTTCCCTGGGAGAGATAAGGAATGAAGGAACCCTGAAAGAGAAAACTTCTGAAAGAATATGTGCATCTGTTTCCAAGTTTGTAGCCATAGCCCATCTAACTTGTGTGTATGTAAGCTTTTTAGATTTCTGTTAAATATTTACTAAATTTACAATTGATTGTGGTAAGTGATCAAATGGATCATATGCAAATCTGATCAAATTATTGAAGAAAACAAAAATTCCTAAACCAACCATATGTCAGATATCATATAGTCTTTCTATCCAAACTAAGAATTTGGGCAAGGAAAATTGGATCTACAAGTCAAAATATGTTTTCTCTGTGGATGCTGTTGTTCAGCTTCTGCCAAGTGCATAGCAGGAGAATTCAGATGGCTCTGTTTCTGTGATCTTGGGGGTTGTTTCTACCTTCTGGCAAAGAATGTTCTTCCCTATTATTCAAAGGTTCCCATATGACCTGAGTGACAGCTAACAGCTGGGTCAAAAGCTGTAATTATATTATCAGCCCTATTGTTTCAACAAACTCCTATAAGTTTTGGGTTTTTATTGGGATCTAACTTCAACCTTTCCTGGACTTCATGACTGAATTTGCAGCCACAGTCTTGGATATTCTTTAAGTATATACACTCTATATATAGAATACATATCTTTTAAAAATATATACATATTTTTATTGATTTCAGAGAGGAAGGAAGAGGGAGACAGAGATAAAAACATCAAAGATGAGAGAGAATAATTGATTGGCTGCCTCCTGCATGCCCCACATTGGGGATCAAGCCTCAACCGGGGTATGTGCCCTGACCAGGAATCAAAACATGACCTCCTGGTTCATAGGTCGATGCTCAAACACTGAGCCATGCCGGCTGGGTTAGAATACATATCTTAATATGCCCAATGCCTTATGTGCTCCCCTCCCCTCCCGCCTCTGTACCCCATACAATGTTAGCAGCATCTCCAGCCACTCAGGCGCCTGTACTAAAACTGACCCTTCGCTCTTCTTTCTTATCCCTCCTATATAAGTAATCCCAAAATTCTTCCAGTTATGCTGCTTATAATTCCTTTCAGTCTTGCAGCCACCCTCTTACATCAACTGCTACTCTCCTAATTCAGTGTCTCATCATTCCTTGCCTCAGTGACTGCAGTCATTTTTCGACTGGTCATCCAACCTCCTGGTTTTATACCCCATCATACTATTTCAACTGCATTCAGAGCTGCTCTAAAATGCACAATTGAGCATATGTCTCTTTTATTCAAAACACTTGGATGATGCCTCAGTGCCAACAAGATCAAGCATGAAGTCCCAAGGAAATCATTTAACACTTTTCACAGGCTGGTCACAAACTTTTAAACTTTGTTTCCCACCACTGCACACACACATACATCCAGCTGCCACCATAATGTACTACTCATGGTCCCCTAAACTTGTCTTTAATCTGTACACTGCTATGTGTTTGTGTAAAATGCTGTTTCTTTTTCAGCAATGTCCTCCATGCCACCACTCTGTTACCGACTCTTGTTTATCCATCCCTCATTTCTCAGGGGTGGCCCATTTCCCCAGGCAGAGTTGATGACCAGGGGAGGAGGAGACTGTTCTATACCCTATGGGAACCCCAGGAGAGTGAGTGTGGGCATCATCTGATAGCAGAGACATTCTCTAGTCCTGGGTTCCTGATTTCTAGGGCTTCCTTTGAAGAAGAAGCAATGCTGATGAGAACACCAGGTAAGACAATGCAGGTGTAGAGCTATGGGATTTATCACTTATCGTGGTCTTGGCCTAGGGTCTATAGGACAAGTAATAGGTCAGTGGTCTCAGAAGATTTCCCCTCTTCTTTTTAGGTCTGGTTGAACTATGCAGTTTCTCCTGTATTTACTAACCTAACAGCTTCTATTTATATTGCCTTGGTGACACCATCCCTGCTCCTTACAAAAATTCTCCCTTCTAGCAATATTTCCCACTCAGTGGTCACCAACTTGGCAACCCTCCCCAAAAGCTTCAGAAGCTTAGCTCAACGATCACATCTGCTTGCTTCCAGAACTGACTCTTCTTTCAAAGCACTTTGTACTTTTCTCTGCTCAGTATTTATCATAATATATGTAACAATTTGTTTATATGTCTGTCTCCGCCAAACCTGTCATCTGTCTGAGGGCATGAGCCATATCTTATAATAACCATGTAGCTCCAGACACACTGAAATTTTGTCTGTTCCCAGAATTCACAAGCTTCTTTCTGTCTTGGGACTTTGTTCTTCCTGGGACAGCCCCCAGCTCCAAGTCCTATTTTCTGAGAGCTGGACTCTTCTTTTCATCTGGATTCAGCTTAAATGCAAGGCCCTCAGAAAGGTCACCAATTTCCCCCTTTCCCAATGATCTCCATCACATCAATCTTTATTTTATTCATAGCATATTTTGCTAGTCAACATGATCTTTATATGTGTATTTGTTCACTGTCTACCCTACCTATAATGTAGAGGTCAAGGGTACCTGTCTTGTTCACCTCTGTCCCCAGTGGCTAGCTGCTCCCAAACTACTGCTGAGTGCATTCTTTTTTTCTGTGCTTATTTATATCTAGGATTCTTTTACAAAACTAAATCCATACTATACATATTCTGCTTTACTCATTTATTATCATTTCTTAAGCTTTTCCTAATTTTAACTATTCTTGAGGACATAATGCCCACCTACTCCTCAGTGTGAATGTAGAAATAGGCCTAATCACCAAATACCACAGGCCCATTATCCACTTAACCCGCTGCCTTTGGTGCTATGAAATGCCTTTTCTTTGTGGCCTCCTCCACTCCCATGGTGATAGGTCCTTTCTATAGCTATGGGTCTGTTTAATTCCTTATTCTCTAAATGTACAACTTTAATTTTGCCCATTTGGATTAATCTCTCCCTTTGCCATTTCACTCCCACCAATGGCCCCTTAAGTGTATATCACCAGCTTTTCCCAATCCTCTCCTACATTTCCAAAGAGATGCTTTTCTAGTACTTCCAGTTCAACATGTCCTCTCCCAATTCAGTTCCTTTTCCTGAACCCTCAGTTTCTGTTATGTTAATACAACCACCATCCCAGTTATTTTGGCTCAAGCATTTTGATTGACTTGCCTCATTCACACATTTGCTGAATCCTATTTCTTGTTTTGCATAATGAACACACTTTTGTTGCTTTTCTTTGATTATATGTCATATGTGTCCTATGTAAGATTTCAAACATACAGAACAATAAACCATCGGGTGTAATAGAGTATTATAGCTGGTCCACCTTACTTCAATGGACATTATAAATACTTTGGAGGCCATTCTTTCATGAATATTTTATTTCATATAAAATAGATAGAAAATGATAGATACTAGGTAGATAAAGTTTACATAAGTGGGATAATTTTTTAATTAAATATTTAAAGATAAAAGACATAAAAATGTAACAAAAATTGTGGCTTAACTTAAATTTGATTGATGAACAACTTCTGCTCCCAATCTGATCAGTATTACTTCTATGAAGGCATTTATATCTTCATTTGAAGAAATGAAAAATGTCTATGGTTCAGACCTTTTATAAATTTGAAGTCTAGACCAAGTGGTGCTGTGATAGATTCTGGAATTGGGACCTTGTTTTATTCATCTTTCTGTGTCCCATAGACTCTAATGATACATGTGAAATAATGGTTTATTCTGTGGATGATCAATGGCATCAACAAATATCTTTTAATGCCTTCTATATACAAGCCACTGCTAGCTATGTGAGGGATACGCAAATGAATAAGATATTGCCCTTGCTTTTGAGAAAATTTATATCCATAGTCTTTCGGGGAAAAAAATGCTGCTATAACCACCATAAACTTTGGTCTCTACCACCTATCTTCATGCCAGTGAAGGGCTAGTTTTGGTTCTCTATGGGTTTTGTGTAGAACCTGAAGAACCCAGCCTTGCTCCCAACATGCACTTTGAAATATGAGAGGGATGTAAAAAAGAAAGGCGATCTGAGAGGGCTGATTTGAAAGAAAAGAAAGTTATTTGTTTTTTGAAAATATGTTTTGTAGGTTGATGGCTCTTGATCTCTGTGGGCTGGCCGCTGTAGGATCCCTCAAACATTGCAAGAGCTCATCTTGCACCTATAACGATTTTGGCTATAATCTGCTGTCTTCTTTTCAAAGGATGCAGCTATTCTGGACAGGCTTCTGTTTGAACTCAGCCACAGTTCTATGCTCAACGTGGTGGGACACTATTCATGTGAAAGCACCACGGAAATCTTAAAAGCATTGTATGGACCTTCACAACAATCTAAAGTGTATTCCTAGTAGATGCCCAAGGTAGAGGATGCTTGTTTGTCACATGTGAGGGGCAGTGAGCTTTTTTCTTTTTTTTTTTTTTTTTTTTTTTTTACACAGACTCACTGGGCTGAAGGAAAGAGTAGTTGGGGTCATCACATTCTAGAAATCTCAATGATAGCCAAAGAATCTTAGAAGAAAGACATATTTGGTCTATACTTGAAGATTACAATCTCTTTCATGAACTCTTTGCAAGTACTTTTTCAAAAAAGTTTAAAATTATACTTAAGTGATATGTAGCATAAAAGCCTTAGAGAAAATGCTAGGTTGGGGAACATGCCAGTCATTTTTAAGAGCAGATGTCCACCACTTTTCTCTTTGGGGAAGCAGCCCATTAAGCTACACGCTGCTGAATCAGACGTGACAAAAAAAAAATCATCTAGACCAGTTTATTCTGGCTTGAGAGTCAAAGGCATGAGTGGCAACGGCTGGTATTTCTGGATCCTCCGTTGCTTCCACTTTGGAGGCTGTTGAGTCAGACCTGACTGAACTCAGACATCTCTGGTTCTACTGCACATACATCCTGAGCACTGGTTATCTACAGCATCCTGGTAATTTGTGTTTTAAAATCGCACACCCACCTGCACTGATGTAAAATCAGCACCAAGCAAAATAAGCTTACCCTCAAATCTTTGTGTTCTTCCACAGAAGACTAAACATCCAGGCACTGATCCATTTATTAGACAGAACATGGCATCTCTGGGGATGACAGCCACATTCATCAAAGCTCCCATCCCTCGAAAGGGATAATGTTCAGGAAATATCTGAGCAGCTATCACAGAATTCATCCTTGCCTTATGGCTTTTCTAAAACTTAATAAAAATCTTCTTTTCAATCAGAACCTTCCAAAGAATACAGACCTCATTTCCCCAACTTCTTGGAGAAGCCTGAGCAAATGATTATAATTTCTATTTTTTAGCTTTCAAGTACCTTAAAAAATGCTCTTTCACTTCGTATCATGCTATTGACTTCCTTTCAAATGTTGCCCACACAGGATTTTACTCAAGATAGATCCTGCTCTTTATTTGTATTTTGAGTCACATACCTTTGGAGCCTTTGAGCTTGAAGGGATGTTAGATCTTACCTCTTTCAAAGCCGAGGAATAAAAGCTGGGAGAAGAGAAGGGTCAGGTCGTCCTAGTTGTATTCCAGTGGATGGCAAATTCAAGACCAAAATGACCTGTCATAAGAGCAAAATACAAACAAAATCACACAATAAAACAAAAAAAAATTAAACATGTTCAGTTTTCTGCTAATAACATGTAATATCTATAATACCCTTAAAATAATTTTACCTGCCCAACATTTTAGAGTTTATAGGCTTTTGCATCAGTCCTTTCTATCTCACAACCACTCAGAAGAAAAGCTCTTTGTTTTTTAGTCCAATGAGGAAATGAATGCTCAGAAGGGCCAAATGATTTGCAAAGGTCATGTCTTTGGGGCTGATCAGAGGCTCAAGTCCAAAGGTTAAGATCCCCAGGCAGGAATTCATTATGAAATGATTCTGTTCCATCAGCAAGCACAAACCAACTTAAAAAGCTGAAAAGATTTGCCTTTCCCATTGGTCTGAAATTTTCCAAAGTTAGCTTTGACTGGCAAAATGGGTCCTGCTGTCCCTGAAAGTGGGTCCAAAGCCACTTTCATAAGATGACAACAACATCTATTGGCATAATTGAAAGGTAATTAAATTACCACTCTGTTTCATTGGACATGGGCTGCTTTGCTCCCAACAGCTTCCATCTTTAGGAATGTTAGAGGAATCAAAGAGAGATGTAGGTTGTGCACATTTGTTCAAAGCAAACTGCTGCTGTGTTTCTGTGGCACTGGGATTCATTATGTCACTGTTTTCTTTTCTATATTGAATGGAGCTGGGAAAAAGAAAAGTCATTTTTTTTGTCCTTGCCACACTGAAACCCTTACCATGTTTTCTAAGACAATTAAGATAATAAGAGAAAGGCACAGCAACATGGAATATGTGGGGTGTTTTACAGAAGATATTTTCAGTTTCCCTCTTCCCTTCCCAGCTCTTCCTCTTTCATACCAGCACTTTAGGTCACTGGGGACAAGAGTCTGCAGCAAGTCAAAGTGAAACTGAAACAGTAAGTCCTCCTTTCTCTTCTTTCTCTGACTTCTTCATTTGCATAAATTAAAACCTATTCTAAACTGGCTTCTTTCTTTGGCATGAAAGTAAGTTCTTTAAGTGCTCATTAAATGCCCTGTCACAGCATCCTGTCTTCTAATTCCTTAACTTTTTGTCCCTCAACTTCCCATGGATAGCTCTCGTCAGAGAGATAGAATTTTTTTCTGTAAAACCTGAATTGGTAACCTTGGAAAGTCTGAATCACATCCAAAAGGAATTCATTACTGAGTGGGGTGACTTTGACTTTCATGAAAATGAATGCTCTGAAACCATCAGCTTTGGAAAATAATTCATTACACTTTTTTTTTTTTTTTTTTTTTTGCTGGTGGGGTGGATAAAGTGCCTTTCATGAAAGTACCTCTTGTATGAGTATCCTGCATGACCTCTTATGAAAGAAAATGTTAGGACAGTCAGCTATTTGGAAACATTGTACGCATAAGCTTTTATGCTGACTTTTAGTGAGAACAAGATGAATCATGAATACTTAAATTTTTTCCCCATGGTTCTGCTTAAATCCTAGCTTAATTGTTTCAGAGTATGCACCTGGGAGACATTGTATGCAATATGAGTTTGGGATTTGGAGCTCCAAGAATTGTCCAGTTCAGTGGCCAGTGGGACTAGAGCTCCATGAATTTTCATCTCAGTCTCTCCTCTCATTATTTGGGCAAATACTTTCATGTCTCTTTTTCTCTCAAGGCAAAAAATGTTTACCACTAGCCCCAGTATTTTGAAGGTTAACAAAGGTTGTGAGATTTTCCTTAATGTTAAAAAATTACAGAAAAGATAGAGTGTAAGACTCATGCATCTAACACTCAGATAATAAAACCTGTATTATTTAGGCCCATTTGCTTCATTTTTATACTAAATACATGAATAAAACAGGAATTAAGTGAAAATATTCTTTGTACTCCTACTCAATTATATTCCTCTTTCTGCCTTCCTACAAGCACACACTTTCGTAATTTGGGATTATATTCTTCCATTTTTTATATCTGACTATTTATCTTCAAACATTATGTCATATTTGAGGCAAAAAATTCTAATTGCCCACCTACTCACTGTTATTCTCTTTTTAAAAAATATTTTTTTATTGATTTCAGAGGAAGGGAGAGGGAGAAAGAGATAGAAACATCAATGATGAGAGAGAATAACTGATCAGCTGCCTCCTGCACACCCCACACTGGGGATCCAGCCTGCAACTTAGGCATGTGCCCTGACAGGGAATTGAACTGTGACCCCTTGGTTCACAGGTCGACACTCAACCACTGAGCCATGGCAGTTGGGCTGTTATTCCCTTTTTGCACTCTATCTGAACACTGGTCTTGTCCAGGAAACAGTGGCCCAGGAAGTCCACTCATCCCTGCTCCCAGAGTCTGTTGCAGCTAAAGTGTGGAAGGGTGGGTAAGAAGAATGTGATCTAGGTTTGGTCAAGGGGCTAAAAAAAGAAGCTGAAAAGGTGGGGCCATTAGAAAAATCATTGTTTTCTTGATAAGAGAGGGTATATTCAGATTCATCTTTTATGGTCTCTCTCTTTGGATCTGAAGCAAGGATGCAATGTGAGGCCAAAGCTATTGTCTTGTAATCTTGAGGATGAAAGAGAAGAAGAGAGAATGAGCCATGAGCCATGAGCCTTGAGAAAGGGAAACTGGTTTGCAGGTTTGAGTCCATCTGAGAATAATTTTTCAGGTTCCCCAGCAAATGTAGACTAAGTAAGCATATTTACACGTGTTATATACTCTGTTCCCCTTCTGGACCATCAGACATGGTTAACTGTATGAGTGCTCACTCCCTCCCCTGGTGGGACCTGCCAGATGGCATCTTGGAGACACCTTCATTTGGATCACCTTCAGTTGAACTCTTACAGGACAAAATTATAAACCCCTATTTGGTTAAGCCACCATTGTTAAATTTCTTCAAATGCAGCCAAACACAATCCTAATTGGCAATGAATTATTTTGTTTTTAAGATTTTTATAGAAATGGTGTTACCCTTGCAGGTTGTCCTAGATCATGCTTTTTTCACTCAATATTGTGTTTGGCCTCTCTCCATTTTGATAGATATCTAGTTTATTTACTTTTAAATTTATTTTTTTTTTCATCCATTTCTCTTTCTTAATTTTAATTCTACTTTTCAATAATAGTTGACATTCGATGCAAATATTAGTTTTAGATGGACAGCATAGTTATTAGGCATTTACACACCTTATAAAGTGATCACCTCGGTAAGTCTAGAACCCATCTGACACCATACATAGCTATTACAAATTATTCACTGTATTCCCTATGCTGTATTGTACATCCCCATGACTATCTATTTCTTTTTTATGGGTATTTAGTTTGTGTGTTATGTTTCACCATTATCAAAGGGTATTATTCTGCATAGCCCCCCGCAGACTCACAAACACGAGTTTATCTAGGATATATGCTATATGTGGACTCTGATGGATCTTTTGGAGATTCTTAATTTGGGTGTAAGTGGTTTTTTATTTTTTAATAAAATATATTTTTATTGATTTCAGAGAGGAAGGGAGAGATAGAAACATCAATGATGAGAGAGAATCATTGATCAGCTGCCTCCTGCACACCCCCTACTGGGGATCGAGCCTGCAACCTGGGTATGTGCCCTGACTGGGAATTGAACCATGACCTCTTGGTTCATGAGTCAATGCTCAGCCACTGAGTCACGCCAGGCCTAAGTGGCTTTTTAAAAATGAATTGTTTGTGAATTTAGAGGCAGGTGGTTAAAGCAGCCTCCAGCACTCTTTAAAATATGTATGTCACATTTCCTTATTTTCTCCCCATATTTGTCAGGCTTCTGACAAAAAATGGAAATGAAAATCTGGAAAAAAAATCCAGAAACATCAGTAATTGAGTAAGAAAGACTCTGATTCCCACCAGCTCCATGACAGCCCCCTCTGCTATTCTCCTTTTAGCCATGGAACTCTCTCCAACAGGGATTTTCAACTGTGGCACTGTAGACATTTGAGGCTAGATCATTTTTTTGTGGGACCTGTCCTGTGCATCATAGGATGTTTAGCAGCTTCTCTGGCCTTACTCATGGGCCTCTAACTAGGTACCATTAACACTCCTTCCCAGTTGTGACAACCAAAAATGACTCCGGACATTTCCAAAAATGGCTCCTGGGGAAGAGGGAATCTCCCCAGGTTGAGAACTACTGCTTTAACAGCAGCTAATCTTGTAGCATTTAGGGACAATGTAAATAAAGGCTCCGATGAAGACAATGGTGGACCATGATATATTTTTTTAAATGGCCCTTTAAAGTCCATTTATGAAAGCTATTGTAGTTCATGATTTAAGTAAATTTATGTTTTAAAATCTTAAGTTGAAAAAAAATAAATTTAGGATATTTTCTAGAGGCCCAATGCAAGAAATTCATGCAAGGAGCTCGGCCCTCGCAGCCCCGGATTCATCTGAAAGGTCGTCTGGCTGGTTGTTCTATTGTTCAGTCTAATTAGCACATTAGCTCTTTATTATATAGGATAATACCTCTGTAAAATAAAAATACAATAATAATAGTTGCATTTATTCTATGCTGGAAATTTTCCTAAAAATAATATGCATGCCTACTTGTTTAATCTTCATAACCAGTTTGTGATATAGGTACTATTTTATACCCATTTTACAGGTGAGAAAACTGAGAACAAGGTTCAGACTTACTCTTCATATAGATTCTCTTTAAAGTTCTCACAACAACCCTGCAATGTACATGCGACTACCATCATTTTATAGATGAATAAGTTGAAACTGATATTAAGAAACCTAGCAAGAATCCCAAAGTATTAAATTGTGAAGTGATATTTGATGTGGATTAATGTATTATACCCACAAACATGATACAAATTAGAACTGAAATCTACTATCAAAGCTATTTACCATTAGAGATATGGATCCCTCAAAAGGAATTTAGTAATTTTTTTGTAAATATAGAAAAATTTGATTGTATAATTTATCCTAGGTTATAATTACATCTGAGTTAAAAATTTTCAACTTTTTTCCTTAATCCCCACACTCTTTCCAGTGGGGATTTAGATAGGGCAACTAAATAGACATATAAAGCTAACTAAACATAATAAAATGTGGATTCAGAAATGATGATAAGAAAACAGTATAAGGACTTATAGATGGCTATGAAAAGGCTGTGAGAATTTTTCTGTCTCATAACTAGTATGAAAAGGAAACCTGGTCAATTATACAGCTCCCAGTGCCCACTGGAAAAATAAAATTAACCAAACTTCATTACCCAG